CGCAACATTATCAGAATAGTCATATTACGTGAATAAAGTCATCATAGAACAACCGTTTATAGAAAGAAAGCATAGAGCTCCGACCAGCTCCACCAATCAGCAACCTGAGTCCACTTTATCTCAGACATACTGATAATAAGTTGAAGCTGAAGGACTGAATATTTCCTTCTAAGTCAAACCGATGCAGAAGTACTGTAACTTTGCAAGATGCTCGACGTTCCTCATTTTATGGAAGACGGTGCTTTTTTAAGAGCCGTTATAAAATACATCTTCTTTCTCAGAATGTTTTCCCTTTATTCTATTATTACTTTATTTTCACAATATTACTTTATTCTAAAATATATATATATAATAATTTCTGCCCTAATACTCCGTCGTAATATGCAGAACTCATCAAGTAGGAAAAAAAACTTCTTCAGGGAAGTTCTGGCTGCTGGATTATCAATGATTCAATAATCTCAGATGAATAGATTTTCATGGAGGGCCAACAGTAGATCCCTGTGGAACACCAGAAGGAACATTAACCCTCAGATTCAGGATGGAAGCCGTTCCTGCAGCACCATCTGACCGAAACAGAACCTGTGATGGCGAAAGCTCAACTAATCAATGGATTCATTTGTTGATTTATAATTTCAATGAATCTATGTTGTGATCAAATATTAGAATCTGCTTTAAAGAAACTAAAACTTTTCATTTTGTTTTAAATTCAACATTTCTCTATATATATTTGTTGCATCATTCCTGCTCTGAGTGACTTCCTCTATCAGCTAACAGCAGATACTCTAGTTTATGACTAGCTGAGGTTTATTTCAATAATCAATCTGATTATTTGAGTCTTAACTGCTTCCAAACTCAGGCTGGGAAGAATCAAACAGATGAAATGATGCTCTGTAATGATTCCTTTAGGTGGTACAGTAGCGTGGAGGACAAGAGAGGCCTCGCCGATTGCATCATCCGCCACTTTACTGAGGTCACACATTCAGTTACAGCCTGATCCACGATTATTTAAAGGATTAGTCGGACATTTTTCAGGGGATTAGCAGAACGAAGCGTGTCTGAGTGGCTGTTTGTCGGACTCTATCTGAGCCAAACCAAGGACAGCCTCTGCTTCGGTGTTTTGTCTACGCCGCATGTGTAGGAGGAGCTCAGATAAGTAGTGCGATGGCGCCTCAGCGTGATATTTTAATAAACTCCAGTGTAGATGGACCCCCAGGCCTCTCAGCGACAGACAGGAAGGAAACTTCCGGGTCTTTCCCCCATGTCTTCCACTGGCTGACTGATCCAACTTTACCAGAGAACCTCAGAGAGGGACGTTCCCGTCTGCAAAGGAGCATGGGTAATCTGCTGCGCATGCCAAGGAAGTACTGGGTCACTGGATCTACTGCTGACACAGAAATAATCCACCTAGATGCTAAAGACAGCAAAGAGTGGAGGAAACAATAAAAGCTGTTCAGCTAATTAACCTGACAACGCTCAGCTCAATTTACAGAGACAATTCAACCAGATCATCCAGTCAGATTGATTCAAAGTTTTCTCTGTAAGGAAAACCAGCTGATTGCATCGACTCATTGACTCTTCAGCAATCCCTCACACTAAGCATGCTTGTAGCAACAGTGGAGAGGAAAAACTCCCTTTGAACAGGAAGAAACCTCCAGCAGAACCAGGCTCAGTGTGAGCGGCCATCTGCTGAGGCTGATGGTAGAGATGATTTTTCCTCCAGCGCTTCAACGTGTCCTGATTGTTGATTTCAGCTCATGTTTACTTTCTTCATGGATCGCGATGCTGGGAAACCGTCTCGTCTCTTCGTTATGTAGATGTGATCGCTATTAATCTGTCGACTTTGCTAAAAAACCTGCGCGCTGGATGCTACTCATGGCACAGACCTCCTCTTATCTTCACTATTTATCTACTTAATTCACATAAAGTTTTTATCTACTCCTTTTTTTAATTATCTCATTAATTCAGGAAAAAATATTAGATTATAACTATTTATTTTTGTAAAATTATTATTATTAGTTTATTATTAAATTAGAAAAACAAAGTTTTTATTTGTCTAACCCAGGGGGAAAAAAATCTATCTAGCTATATATATATATTTGACTATTCATGTATAAATCTTAATGATAATTTAGAAAAATAACTATTTTTTTTAATGTTATTTTTGTGAAATTATCTCTTTAGTCAGGAAAAACAAAGTATCGTAATAAAGGAATATAATAAAGGTGTTATGACAGTATTCAACCCCAGGTGGCTAAAGGAGCCAAACTTTGTTCTCATATAAAAGCAGCAGGAACTCAATGGTTTAGTTTTTTTCTCATTTAACAGCCAATAAAAACAATTAGAGTTAAAAGTTTGGTAACAATAGATAACTATTACAGTAATAGCTGGTTTATTACTAACAGATAACAGCAGCTTTCTGAGCTTTATTTCTAGAACATTACTAAAAAAATGATTCATTTATTGTTCAAAGCTGATGATGAAGCCAGTTCAAACCAGAAATTAGCAGGTAGGAACAATAATGAAAGGTTTTATTGAGGTAGTTTTGCTCCAAACAGGAGGTGATGCAACAGAAGGACCAGTGGCCCCGCAGCAGCAGAAGAAGCAGCGGCTGACCTGGCTCTCCGTCAGGTTCCTGTCCGCTCCCATCAGGTAGGCGGTGAGGAAAGGTTCCGACGGCCGCAGGCTGGAGAAGAAGCCGTAGACACACAGCAGGACGGTGGTATAAACGGCAGACATGATGGAGCAGTCCGCGGCGACCTCCACGCGCTCGTCTTTCCGGTTATCTAGCGTCCTTTCTTCTTCTTCTGTCTTATTGCGATCAGCTCATCCGCACAAAGCCCCACCTACCGGACATTGATGTGTAAACATCTACTTCAGAGCCGTTTATATATATATATATGTACATATATATATGTACATATATATATATAAATAACTGTTTGAACTGTAAATTTACAGTAATTTTTACTATATTTCAAGGCTGCAATGAAATTGTCCTGAGAGCTGTTTCAAACGAAATTTCTTTTTGTTTTACACTTGTGTAAACAAAATGACAAATAAAATCTGTCTCTTTGGTGCCGCCATCTTGGGGCGG